ACGTGTGCTCTTCCGATCTATGCCAAAGGGAACGGCTTTGCTGATAGTCATATGAGCGCTTAAATTTCAAAAGGAACGGCAGAAAATAGCGCTTATAAGCGTGAGCGCTTACAACGCATGAGCGTCCAAAAGAAACGCACCCTTTGACCCGTACTATAACCTTTAAAGCATATGATATAACTGATCGAAAAGTACTTAATGAAAATGAACCTTATTACAGTGTTTTGGAAAGTTCTTGACACTAGCTATTAGAATAAAAAATAGGGTGTTCCATTTAAAAAAATCGATGTGACTTTAACCTGACCTTGGCGATGCCACCCAAAGTCACAATAATAACTGCTATCTAATGTGCCACTTAAAATCCTAAAACTTGTATCTGAAACAATGTTTTGATAAAAGGCGTAGGAAAAAAGATATAATTTGGGGTGGGACATTAAAATGATCCACTCTGATGTGTGTATAATAGTGTATATATATTTTTTTTTTTCCTACGCCTATATATATATATATATATATATATATATATTTATATATAGTGTGGCCAACCTATAATTAATGATCTTAATATTTCTATTTATAAATATATTTTTCTTTTATATATACATACACATATACACATGGCATTATATATACATTTCTTATATTAATTCAGTTAATTTCTTGTATATCTTATACTAAAAAATAATATTTACCACAGATATTAATAGTTCCTCTCCATGCGCCATTTAGGGTTATAACTTGACAATGTACACTGATTAAGGATGAAATCCACAACACCAAAATAAAAAATTTCATTTCAGCACGTATATTGAAGTATGATATAACAATTATCTGAAATCAAAGACTACAAATAATCCAATAGAAACTTTTCGCGTACGTTTCCGCTTGTCACTTGTCGCTTTTCACAAAAACGTATCAATTTCCAATAAACAGAGATAAAAGCGATCAACGGCAGAACTTATTTAAAGAGCAGTTTTGTTATTATCTAATCTACGGATGCTTTTTCGTCAGATTGATTATAATCTTAGATTAAGGCTAGATTTATCAACCCATAACCTTGATATTAAGAGAAAAAATATGATATACGCGTAAAATTCACTTTATATCATCTTTTTGTATATAAATCTTCAGATAGCATGAAATTATCATTTGAATAACACTATATATTGTGAAGCTCGATGTTTTCTCGATATTTTTTCATGTTGCTGATTGCACGAGTTTTATCGTTATTTATCTCTTCGTTTGGCATAGGGTTAATGAAAACTCCCGAGTTAATCATAATTTTATACGTTTTATTTATAAACAACAGATTCTATTGGTATAAAAATATTTTATGCTGATTTACAATTTAGCGCGTGTTGAGACTTCTCAGATAGCAAGCTGACGTTATTTTTTTGTCTTCAACGACATTTTGACGTTAAAATGGCGACAAATACCGTCAGCTTGCTGCCTGGGTTCATATATATGTAAATTTACAGATATCTCTCTCTCTCTCGCTCACCGTATATATCACCTAAAATATATATAAAATTTTTTGATAAAACGGCTCTGTGATTTAGGAAAACAATATCTACTCGTCGATCGTTATATAACCCGTACATTGCGTATATATTGTAAAGTCTCATTTTATAAGTGTACAAATGGAATGATTTTGAAATATATATATGGCATTTTATTTAATACCTTCTAATTTTATTTTTACCGATCGAAACAAGCAGGATACTTTATTGCTTCACATGTAATCTTTATAATCTTAATAATGCAATATATTGCCAAATTGTAATTTCTTTATTGTTATTAAATATGAAAACGTAAAGCAAAAAAAAAAGACTATAATAGATACTTATATATTTATCCTGAGGATTCAGAATATTTAGTTCTTCAAGAGGCTGTACAAAAAAATATGTTATGAAATAAATACATAGGGTGTCTCACAATTTGCAATCAATTTTGATCTCTGATAAATTTCAAAGATTATTCGTTAACGGAAATACATATAAATAAGCATTTAATTTCTGTGTTACACAAGTGCAAAAAAAATTAATAAAAACCGAGAGCCTTAAAAATTAAAATCATTTTTCAGTTTATTTCGAGCACATAAAATTTTATTTTGACAGAATCTTATGTTGCTTTAATGTACGAAGATGTACAATATCGAAAAATTGCGACAAATATTGGCTTCCCTTGGTATTATCAACATTACATTATCAAATTGCTTGGAGATTCTATCATTAAAATTGCAAATCATGAGATATCTGTAAATATGTTATTGAATATAATACTAATAATTGTTAAACAAATGCAAAATAAACATGTATCAGTTCTATGCAATAACATTTGTGCAATTTGTAATTTTTAGGAAAAAACCTTTCTTCAAATGAAACAAACACTATTATATATTTGAAGTTCTTATAAGAATGTAAAATTAATCAACGTTTTTTTTTCCTACCAGTATGTATATTCTTTTTGTTATTAGATGAAAACTGACCTAAATAATCTATTTCAGAATCTTTCTGTTCACTGATCGGTTTAAAATGGCGAAAGGATGAGGTGGAAGTGGTATTGGTATCTTCAGATCCTAAAGAAAAAGACACAAAGTAAAATTAAAAATAAATTTAGCCAAAATGGAAGACGAGAATCTTATTGAATAGCCATTGAATAAAGATAAAAAAGGAATGTAATACTTAATAATACATCAACATATGTCAATAATACATTAAAAAACAGAAAATGTTAACCTCTAGAAATTCGTTAGACTTTCGATTTTAATATGATACTAATCTTTCACAAGTACAAACAAAAGTTCTGTACAAACAGAAATGCTTAACCCTTTCAGTCTGAGACTTGAAGACGCAAAAGTAATCCTAATATGCAGAATATTTTTATCTGTGAAAATTATACAAAGTATCCGGAAACTCGACCACACTATAATTTTTTCTTTGAGATAATTAGAGATAAAAAGGAGAAAAAAAGCTATATAAACATAGGTTCGAAAATAAATTGTTTCTGAGTTATAGTTACTTTTATATTAATAAAATCTAATAAAAATTATAATAAATTATGATTATTATGATTATGACTGTGAAAAATAAATTACGAATCCACTAAAAATTTGTAAAATGCTTAAATTTTTAAAGAAAACATGCCATCAAATGATAATGTTAATACCGGCGATATTTTAATTTTCAATCTTCATAATTCGGTAATACTTAAAATGGAAAAAAAAACAACTTTATTATAGTGTTTTGAAAATCTCTCGAGATCAGTTACAGAGTACAAGAATATATAATAAAAGATAAAAGATAAGATCTCATTTTTAAAAATCGATGTGACCTTGATCTGATTTTTGTGACGCAATTCAAGATTAAATTGATAACATCACTAAATACTTTACATACCCTACGACTTTTGTTTAAAACATTTTTCTCAAAAATGCCTACTTTTTGAGATATTCAGTTGTCTCGGAACATTTCGGACACCCTGTATACGTGCATGCGTTTGCGTGTGCATGAGTATGTGCATATAATGTAAAAAATGTAATATTAAATTTATTTTACTAAAAAGAAATATTCAAGATCTATTAATCACAAATTATTTTCTTCGTGTTGGATTTTCAAAAAAGTAAATTTTAATTTCAAATCATCATCTACCTAGTCATATCTTCTTAGTGCAGCTGTTGTATCATAAAAATTCATTGGAATTGTTTCATAAAATACTTGAAAATTTTGTGATTCTTAAAGTTGCCATTTTAAATTTACATTAGTAAATTTTAAAATTTTGACTAGAGACATTCGAAATCCTCAAATTTAAAAACCTTTAAGAAGTCATTTTCGCATAATTTTAATAATTTTTTTAAAATTTAACTTTATGATGTCTATCACAGATATCATCGATGATTTAACTTTATGATGTCTATCACAGATATCATATACATTGAGAACCAACTTTGTGCATGTTGTCTATAGACACAAAAGGGCTAAAGAATTTTTTATAATTTTATAATTTAAGATATTAATGTTGATATATTGGAAAAACAGTAATCCAGATATTGTTTATTTATACAAACCAAATAAAGTTATCTAATGTGTGTATTATATATGATAAGATAGTATTATCAGAAACAAAAAAGTATTACGAAACAACAGATTATGTAATACTGAACGTACCATGTGAGTGCCTTTCATTATTTTTATTACTTATACACTGCTGAATATGTTCTTCATATTCCATTCCATTATTTGTCTTGTAGTTGCTGCATATATTACAGTCTAATTGATTCGTGTTATTACCACTCTCTTCATTATTTGTCTCAAATTGTTCGCAATTGGCGGCATGGTCCTCTATCTTGTTATGTGGAAACAATTTATTGCATATAGGACAGCTTACATTGTTTGTCGAAGTAGGTACATTATCAGACCGATTACCATTCTGTACATCAAACTGCTATAAATGAAAGAGAAGCAAAGGTAACATAACAAACCTTGTCAAATATTCAAAGAGAGACAAAGAAATTTTTTAATACTTACTTGATTCATCTTAGATGACTTGTCCTCATCATCGGACAATAGTTGATGTACCAAACTTCCGTTTTTATTCTCTATTCTGCACGATTCTTCTTCCTTCTGTCCGCAAAGTTTCAATTTTTTTTTCTTATTCCGCTCCTCATCGCTTTCCTCCTTGTTCGTCACTTCCCACGTTTCCTGCGCTGTTTTACTAAATAATCGTTTCCCTCGTAATCTAAGTTGTATTTCTTTCGTTAGCGGCAGTGGCTGAATCTTCACATCCTTTTCCACAGTAACCTCTTCCTCGTCATCATTCCAGTCTTCTTCCAGTGTCCTACGAATTTCTTCATCCGTCACTGTATTATCTTTCTTTTGATTTCTTGCCTGCTCAACAGCTTTATTTTCCTTGCGCGTCTTTGGAGACGGTTTTGATGTAGTGTTTCCTCTTCTTTGTCTAGCCAGACTTAAACGCATCTTAGAATTGGGAGGTATTATTCTTCTAGGATATTCAGACGATACTTTTTCATCCTTTTCATCAGTTCTTTTTTTAGAGCATAAATATTTATCGCGCTCATTGTCGATATCCATGTCGTTATTATCACTCAAAGAATGACCTACGATCATGTTTGACGTTGCTTTCTTATGATTGGCATGTACGTACTGATTCTCAGCACATTCTACATTATTTGATTTATCATTCGACTGAGTTCTCTTTTTTCTACGAGCACATAATCGTCTGCCATCTTCGTCCTCGGAAGAACTGTCTTTAGTTAAATTAGCGATAAGAGTATTCGCTTTACGTTTACTAGCTCGCTCGTAACCATCCCGATATATATATTCTTCTTTGATCTCTTCAGTCTTAGGATCATTTAATGGTTTTTTATCCAAACTATTGTTAGCAGTGCTGACCTACAGAAACAAGGATTAGAATCAGACTAAGATTAAATGAAGTAAACAACTATCTTTTTTGTAAACAAATATAATTTATTCAAAAATGTTTCTTGCAGTTTACAGCTTTATTAAATAATTGTATTCTTGTAAACGCTCACGTATATTACACATATTTCCATATAAATTCCAATTTTATAGTATCAATAAAAAATATCAAATGATTGTATGTGAATGTATATATTTTTTTTTCTTAATCTGTTCGGCAAAAAGTGCCTATTCATAACTAATTTTACATATACGCTTCAGTGTAAATTAAGATGGAAGCGACAGCTCAGCAAGTAATATACGGAAGTTATATAATGTATTAATATAATAACAGAGATGTAATAAATGCACCTTATCAGATATGACATATTACAATACCGTATTATATAGTCTCAAAGAAAAATATGTGAATTGTATTACAATCCTGGTGAAAAAAATTCTTATGTTATCTCAATATTAAGAATTTCTTATATTTTAAATTTATGGAAATTTCTGAAAAAAGTACCTTAAACTTTTTCAGATTTTACAAGTTTTCTTTAGAAATTATAGAATAAGAAATCTTAGAATATTTCAGAATTCACATATATAAAAAAATTTTAGAAAAGATGTAAAGGCTTTTTCAATTCTTTTGAAAAGTGTTCCAAGTAGTATAAAAAATTTGAGAAATTTTCTAAAAAGTTATAAAATTATACAGAAATTCTGAAAAATTCTGAAATTTACATAAATATTCTAAATTACATAAAAAATTATAAAAGAAAATTCTAAGAAAAATTTTCACCAAGGAAGCTATTTTGATAGAGGAAAATAAGGGCGAGCACAACGTAACTAATCATAGATTTTTCATAAAATTAATACATTTCTTTTGATATAAATTAAATATTTTCCACAACTCAATTTATTGATAACTCTAAGAATTTTAATTTAGTACATTTATCAGTAAAGGGAAGAGGGCCCGATTATGACTTCATTTGGATTTTATTTGTTATTATTAAAAATACATTTAGTCTGTTCTTTATAGTTGAATTTATATACACTCAACTTAAAATAAAATAGATGTATATTTGAAGTTTGGCGAAAGAAAGAAAATTTTAGTCTAGTCCAGTCTAGCGATAAAGAACAGGTTTTCTTTATTAATACAAAAAAATTTTTAAATATTTTTAACATTCGTTTTAGAAATCGTATTTTTTGGTTTCTGTATATTATGCCATAATTCGCTGAAAAAAATTGTGAATATTATATTATCAAAATAATTTCTTTGCATAAACAATGATGACATAGATAATCTATATGTAATACACGCTTATTTAGAGTAAGCTTCTAGAACTGAGAATCAGAGTCAAATAAAATATCATCAGTTTTAGAGTGTAGAAAATATTGTACAATAGTTTGTAAAGTTCTCACGTTTAGAGTGAAAATACTCAAAATTGTCCATTTTACTCCATGAAAAGAATTATATTTTTATTTCAACTGAATATCATTTATACACGCTTGCAAGCGTAAATGTTTGTGTTCGCAGTACGTTTTTTACTATCTTTGAAAAATATCTGTATGCGCGCGTGCACACGCACACACAATACATACATACAAACAGGGTTGGGAACGTTATCTTAAAAAAGTAACGCGTTACCGTTATTTTTCGTAAAAAGTAACTCATTACCGTTACTCGTTACTGATTTTAAAAAGTAACGCGTTACCGTTACCGTTACTTGAAAAGTAACGATTCGTTACTTTATCGTTACTTTTTTGTAATACTGAAATAAGTTTAATTAGATTTTAAATTTGTATTATTTTATAATCATTATTAAATGTAATAATAAATATTAAAAGTTGAAACTCTTCAAATTAAGTCTGTATATAGAGCATATTTTTCTCTACATTACTTATTTTTTATAGAAAGTAAGATTAAATCTATTGTCTCTAAATTAATTATTAAGAATATATT